AGACTTTGACCTGAGACCCTGGCTCAGTGGCAGAGCCTCTGCTTGGCATGCAGAGGGTCCCAGGTTCAATCCCCGGCATCTCCAGTTAAAAGGACCAGGCAGGAGGTGATGAGGAAGACCTTGACCTGAGACCCTGGCTCAGTGGCAGAGCCTCTGCTTGGCATGCAGAAGGCCCCAGGTTCAGTCCCCGGCATCTCCAGTTAAAAAGGACCAGACAGGAGGTGATACAAAAGACCTGAGACCCTGGAGAACCACTGCCGGTCTGAGGAGACAAGGCTGACCCTGATGGAGCAAGGGTCTGATTCAGTAGAAGGCAGCTTCATGTGAGTCAAGCTTGATGCCCTTCCTTCCTTCCTTCCTTCCTTCCTTCCTTCCTTCCTTCCTTCCTTCCTCCCTCCCTCCCTCCCTCCTCCCTCCCTCCCTCAAGGGCAGCCCAAAGCAAAACGAGGGCCAGACGCTTGACGAGGGCTGCCAATACCCAGGTGGGGCCAGGAATGACCACTGATCTCCAGCCTACAAATAGTACTTCCCCTGGAGGAAACGGCTGCTTTGGACGGGTAGATCCTGTGGCCTTTGACCCTTCTGACACCCCTCAGCTATTTTATCTCTGGTTGTAGCTGGGGATGCTTCAACGATTATTCTAAGCCGCCTCGAACCATAAGGGAAGACAGGATATAAATGTTTTAATAGATAATAGAAGCCGATCATGGAATAATGGAATAGATAGTGGGATGGAATAATGGGATAGAATAGGTAATGGGAGCAGAATGCTGGCCCAGGCTCCAGCCGGGAAGAGCCCACCTCTCCTCCGGTAATAGTTGGTGCTGCCCAACCACACTTGCCATTAGGAAGCCCCTCCTAAAGGTTATCGAATGCCTGCAGTTGGCTCCCTTGGGGTGCGAGAGAATGAGCCGCTGCCCTCTTCCACAGGGGAGGCCTTTGACGAGCCCACTTGTGCCTCCTCTCTGCCGTCCCGGACCCGGACCGGTGTGGCCGGGTTAGGGAGGCCTGACCCCCCACTGTCAGCAGTGTGGATGTAAAGAGAGAAAGTCCCACGGTCAGTCCCACGTAAGGTAGCCGGTGACCCAGTGACATCCCTCCCTGCCGTCTCCGAAGGGGCGTCCGTGCATCATAGAATCAGAGAGTCGGAAGGGACCGCCAAGGGTCATCTAGTCCAACTGCCTGCACTATGCAGGGTATTCACAAATACCTCCCCCCACACACACCCCTAGTGACCCGTTCCACACCTAGAAGATGACAAAAAAATCACCACGGACGCTCTGGCGTTGGGGCACAACTCTACGGTTTAACCGTAAAGGTAAAAAAAAGGTAAAGGTCTCCCTTGCTCGAAAGCCAGTCGAGTCCGACTCTAGGGTTGCGGTGCTCATCTCCGTTTCAAAGCCGAAGAGCCAGCGCTGTCCGAAGACGTTTCCGTGGTCATGTGGCCGGCATGACTAAACACCAAGGCGCACGGAACGCTGTTCCCTTCCCACCGAAGCGGTCCCTATTTACCTACTTGCAATTTCTTGCTTTCGAACTGCTAGGTTGGCAGGAGCTGGAACGAGAGACGGGAGCTCACTCCATCATGCGGCACCCGGGTCTCGAACTGCTGAACTACTGACCTTCCACAGCCTGCAGTTCAGCGTCTTAACCACTTGAGCCATAGTTTTGCCCAAATGTCGGAGCACGTCCAGCATCCCCTAGCGACACACTGCTGGGGACGCTCTGTCACGTGGGCAAAACTCTATGGTTCAACCATAGAATTTTGCTCAAGCGCTGGAGCACCTCCAGCATCCCCTAGCGACACACTGCTGGGGGCCCCCTGGCATTTGGGCAAAACTCTACGGTTAACCATAGAGGTTTGCCCAAATGCCGGAGTGTCCCAAGCATCCCTTCTGGTTATAAATGAAGTCATGTCAGTGCATCGGGATGTTGCTGATGCACAAATCCTGTGCCCCCAGGGCTGTATAAGGAACACACGGTTGGAGTCCAGGGAGTGGATAAATACCTGTTTACTGCAATAACAGGAGATACAGGGCTGAGGACCTTGGGGCCCCCAGCGACACCAAGCTGTATCCTGCCATAACCAGGAAGAGGAGAAGGTCTTATACCCCCAGATGACATCACTTATAACTTACACTTTACAGAATTCCTAATTGGCACCAGGCAGGTGGTATCACTAGAGCATCATTTGACTCAACACCTCCCCATTGGCGTTCTTTTCTGCTGGTCAGGGGTGTCCGTAGTTATGTTAGCTTGTCGGGTCCTCAGAACAATGGAAAATACTAAGGAACACTGGGACCCTCCCTGGTCCCAGCAAGGCTAGCTTCCCTCCACCTCGCTGTGGAGAGCTGGCTGATAAGGTACCAGTGATCCACATTAAACTTCGGTCTTGGCAGGCTTCCCGAGGCCCCCTGCCATGCTTGACAAAGCAAATTATTGTTTTGAGAAGCTCATCTTCTGACTTTCGCGACTTCATGTCCTTGCAGCTTCCAGATGTACATTCCATTCTACTGTGTTCTAATTACATCTGCAGAGGCCTCTAATAGTACTTCTGCTTAATATAGCTCCTTATACAGGAGAATACATTTATAAAATATATATTCTGCTCTGGCTTTCTTCCATCTGGGCTAAATAACCAAAATCTGAATATACTATGATTAGACTCTTGTGAAGGCACAAGTGACAAACATCACATTCAGAAATCACATCCACTCGGTCCCTTGTCCTACATTGCTGACATCCCCCCCCCACACGGACGTGTTTTTTTGCCCTTTCCCCCCTGCTACCAGCAGGGGCTTTGTAACCCTAGCCCCACGGGGTTTTCCTTTTCCCAAACCCAAATTATGCCTTCCTTTTGTTCCATCCTGCTGTGGAAATTGCCGTCAGTCACAAATGTAGTAAACCCACCAGCAGGAGCCCTACGTGTGAGTTGGGGAATATTCCTGAGAGCCGTTTTTGTAAAAAATACCTTTTTTTGCTTGTGACTGACCCAAGGTCACATCAGCAGCTGCAAGTGGAGGAGTGGGGAATCAAACCCGGTTCTCCCAGATTAGAGTCCGCACACTTAACCACTACACCAAACTGGCTCTTATGAAGGCACAGTGACAAACATCACATTCAGAAATCACATCCACTCGGTCCCTTGTCCTACATTGCTGACATCCCCCCCCCACACGGACGTGTTTTTTTGCCCTTTCCCCCCTGCTACCAGCAGGGGCTTTGTAACCCTAGCCCCACGGGGTTTTCCTTTTCCCAAACCCAAATTATGCCTTCCTTTTGTTCCATCCTGCTGTGGAAATTGCCGTCAGTCACAAATGGAGTAAATCCACCAGCGGGAGCCCTACCTGTGGGTTGGGGAATATTCCTGAGAGCTTTTTTTGTAAAAATACCTTTTTTCCCATTCCTGTCCATCTAGCATCACAGCTTCTACGACTTCATTGTCACGAAAGCCCGGGGGAAAAGCGGTAAGTCGTGTCTTTGTCTTTCATGATTTGAAAGTTGCCTTCAAGGCATGGGGCGAGGGCGGCAGCGATTCCTTGCTTGGCCTGGAGTTGCCTTGCCAGTGGCCCACAGCCGGACAAAAGCCCCTTCCCGGGATTAAATTTCTGGCATGCCAATCCTGCACACCAGGAGAGCCATGGCTCAGAGGTAGAGCCTCTGCTTAGCATGCAGAAGGTCCCAGGTTCAATCCCTGGCATCTCCAGTTGAAAGGACCAGGCAGGAGGTGGTATGAAAGGCCTTGACCTGAGACCCTGGCTCCGTGGCAGAGCCTCTGCTTGACATGCAGAAGGTCCCAGGTTCAATCCCCGGCTTCTCCAGTTAAAAGGACAAGGCAGGAGGTGGTGAGAAAGACCTTGACCTGAGACCCTGGCTCAGTGGTAGAGCCCCTGTTTGGCATGCGGAAGGTCCCAGGCTCAATCCCTGGCATCTCCAGTTGAAAGGACCAGGCAGGAAGAGGTATGAAAGACCTTGGCCTGAGACCTGGCTCAGTGGTAGAGCCCCTGCTTGGTGTGGAGAAGGTCCCAGGTTCAATCCCTGGCATCTCCAGTTAAAAGGACCAGGCAGGAGGTGATGAGAAAGACCTTGACCTGAGACCCTGGAGAGCTGCTGCCAGTCTGAGTAGACAATGCTGACTTTGATGGACCAAGAAGGTCTGATTCGGTATAAAGCAGCTTCACATGTGTTCACACTGTGTGCAGTCATCCCGGTATGCATGGTCACCGTTTTATCTGAAAAAGTGAATGGGCATTTTTGCATGATGAACGCATACATCTAATTATCGGTTTTTGGCTTGATTGTGCCTAACCTATGCATAGAAACAAACGGTGATTGTTCATACTGAGATGGTAACACATAGCATGCTCCCCCGGTGCATGGGATTGGAGTGGCAGAAATGTAACACCCGAAAAGGGCTGGAGTCACAGTAGGCTGAGGCTGCACACTGGTGGAGAATGAGAAGAGGAAGAAATCAATATGGATACTGGTAGAGCTGGAAGGCAGGGGATAGAGATGTTTGCCCAAGAGGACACAAGTAAGGCAGAACTTGAACTCCATCACAAGAAACAAATCAGAAAAGGAGCTTTAAAAGCCTTTCCCCACTGCGCATGCACTATGTGCACGCATGTCTGGTTCTCATCCCCTTCCCTTTCAAAAGCTCATAGAGATTGCTCACATACCCGCACACAGTGGGGGACAATATGTGTTTCCAGCTTGGTTTATTTACCATATTTACTAGAAAGCAGGGCTATTTTGGGGCAGGAACGCACAGGAACGGAGTTCCGGCTGGCTCCCGAGTTGGCCACACCCAGCAGGAACTCATTAGCATAATAGGCCACACCCAACAGCAGAAACTCATTAGGATTGGCTACATTAGGGGTGTGGGGCCTAAGATGCAAAGGAGTTCCTGCTACCAAAAAAAGGCCCTGGGTTTTGACAACAAACAAGGTAAACAGAATAAAGAGCAAAAGGTGGGTGTAGCTGGATGACCACACTTCTGGTAACATGGGTTGTGGCCTAATATGCTAGTGAGCTGTGCTGTCAGGGGTGTGGCCTAATATGCTAATGAGTTTTTGCTGTTGTGTGTGACCTATTATGCTAATGAGTTCCTGCTGGGCTTTTTCTACAAAAAACCCCCTGGACAGAGTCATAGAGCAGGGGTTCCCAGCCTTTGGAATTGTACACAGGGTGGTGGACACAGCCACAATATGGCTGCTGTGGGAGGCGGAGCCAGCCACAAAATGGCTGCCGCATGAGGCGGAGCCAGCCACACAATGGTTGCCATGGCTCACTTTCAGCCAGGCAGTGAAGATCCTTGTACTGTGGTGGCAGCTGCAGCCAAAGAAACATTTTTAAAAAAATCTGCACAGCCTGTCAATCAGTGGCCAATCAGAAACACTGATGGGCAACAGCCCCATCTGGCTCCGCCCATTTTCTGGAAACACTTGGTGAGGGCCAGGAAAGGTGTCAGACGGTTCCAGCCATATCAGGGACCCTTTTCATAGTGTATAACGTGGGGGTGTTGCACAGGTTTGGGGTGAAGGGTGGTGAACAGCGTTCGGGCTGCACAGGAAACACTGTGGTA